TAATTAGAAGGAAAAAATGAAGAAAAAATATGAAATAATAAGATTCATTAATTAATAATAAAAGTAGAAAATTTGAAAATAAAAGGATGAGCTAAATAAATTAACAAAGAAAAAACAAAAAAAATCAAGCAAAATAAAAAGAAAAAGAAAAAAGAGCTTTATTGTTTTTAATTAGTTTTTATAATTCAAAATATCACAATCCAAAACAAATTAACTGTTTTTACCTAAGGTCAAGTGTCAAATTTGAGAGATTAATGCAATTTACTAAACCAGAACTTAAGTCTGATGCACCTTTGTCACCAATTGCATTACTACTTTTTAAATATTGAAGAAAAAATATATCATTAAATAGTTAATTAGAAGGAAAAAATGAAGAAAAAATATGAAATAATAAGATTAATTAATTAATAATAAAAGTAGAAAATTTGAAAATAAAAGGATGAGCTAAATAAATTAACAAAGAAAAAACAAAAAAAATCAAGCAAAATGAAAAGAAAAAGAAAAAAGAGCTTTATTGTTTTTAATTAGTTTTTATAATTCAAAATATCACAATCCAAAACAAATGAACTGTTTTTACCTAAGGTTAAGTGTCAAATTTGAGAGATTAATGCAATTTGCTAAACCAGAACCTAAGTCTGATGCACCTTTGTCACCAATTTCATTACTACTTTTTAAATATTGAAGAAAAAATATATCATTAAATAGTTAATTAGAAGGAAAAAATGAAGAAAAAATATGAAATAATAAGATTAATTAATTAATAATAAAAGTAAAAGATTTGAAAATAAAAGGATGAGCTAAATAAATTAACAAAGAAAGAACAAAAAAAATCAAGCACAATGAAAAGAAAAAGAAAAAAGAGCTTTATTGTTTTTAATTAGTTTTTATAATTCAAAATATCACAATCCAAAACAAATGAACTGTTTTTACGTAATGTTAAGTGTCAAATTTGAGAGATTAATGCAATTTGCTAAACCAGAACCTAAGCCTGATGCACATTTGTCACCAATTTCATTGTTACTTTTTAAATATTGAAGAAAAAATATATCATTAAATAATTAATTAGAAGGAAAAAATGAAGAAAAAATATGAAATAATAAGATTAATTAATTAATAATAAAAGTAAAAGATTTGAAAATAAAAGGATGAGCTAAATAAATTAACAAAGAAATAACAAAAAAAATCAAGCACAATCAAAAGAAAAAGAAAAAAGAGCTTTATTGTTTTTAATTAGTTTTTATAATTCAAAATATCACAATCCAAAACAAATGAACTGTTTTTACTTAATGTTAAGTGTCAAATTTGAGAGATTAATGCAATTTGCTAAACCAGAACCTAAGTCTGATGCACCTTTTTCACCAATTTTATTACTACTTTTTAAATATTGAAGAAAAATATTTCATTAAATAGTTAATTAGAAGGAAAAAATGAAGAAAAAATATGAAATAATAAGATTAATTAATTAATAATAAAAGTAGAAAATTTGAAAATAAAAGGACGAACTAAATAAATTAACAAAGAAAGAACAAAAAAAAGCAAGCAAAATGAAAAGAAAAAGAAAAAAGAGCTTTATTGTTTTTAATTAGTTTTTATAATTCAAAATATCACAATCCAAAACAAATGAACTGTTTTTACATAATGTTAAGTGTCAAATTTGAGAGATTAATGCAATTTGCTAAACCGGAACTTAAGTCTGATGCACATTTGTCACCAATTTCATTGCAACTTTTTAATTATTGAAGAAAAAAATATCATTAAATAGTTAATTAGAAGGAAAAAATGAAGAAAAAATATGAAATAATAAGATTAATTAATTAATAATAAAAGTAGAAAATTTGAAAATAAAAGGATGAGCTAAATAAATTAACTAAGAAAGAACAAAAAAAATCAAGCAAAATAAAAAGAAAAAGAAAAAAGAGCTTTATTGTTTTTAATTAGTTTTTATAATTCAAAATATCACAATCCAAAACAAATAAACTGTTTTTACCTAAGGTCAAGTGTCAAATTTGAGAGATTAATGCAATTTGCTAAACCAGAACCTAAGCCTGATGCACCTTTGTCACCAATTTTATTCTCACTTTTTAAATATTGAAGAAAAAATATTTTATTAAATTGAGTAAGTTGCCATAAAAATTTTCAAAAAGCGAGTTTTATACCAGTTTTTACATTTTATAAAATTAAAATTTTAAATATTTTTTCCGAATTAAATTTTTTTGAAGATAAATTTTTAAAAAAGGCTAATATTAAAAAATTAATTGAAAAATCATAAAGTTTAATATAAATTAATATTATTAATGAAATTCTATTATAAAATTATTTATATAAAAATAAATAATTTTAAAATGCATAAGTCATTCAAAAAAATAGTGATCTCAATTCACAAAATTTTTGAATGGCATTTAGCTACATATATAATATTTTAAATTTTACATTTTGTCAGTTTAAAGCATTCTAAAAACTCAAAAATAAAATTTTTTTAAGCTAATTTAGCTTTATTTATTATGTTATTAAGATATTTTACATTTTGCCTTTTATAAATTAAATAGGCATTTCACTCTAATTAATTAGAAGGAAAAACAAAGAAAAAATATGAAATAATAAGATTTATTAATAATTAATAAAATTATCAATGAACGAAAAAAAAGAAATCATAATAAAAAGAAAAAAAATCAAATAAACTTAAAGAGCTTAAATATTTTAAATTAACTTTTATAATTAAAAATATTATAATCCAAAACTAATAAACTGCTTTTATAACTGTAAGTTTTAATAGCAAAAAATGAAGAAAAAATATAAAAATAAAAATGAATAATAAATAATTAAAAATTAAAAATTGAAATGAAAATTAAGTTAAAATAGCTAAAAATTTATATATTTTAATAAAAATCAATAAATAATGATGTAATTTCTATAATAAAAATTATTTATTTAAATAAATTGAAATTGAAATGTATAAAAATATTTATAATAATAAAAATAATATTTTTTAATTAAATATACCGAAAATCAATATGGAGAACCTAATGAGATAAAAGTTAAGAGCTTATAAACTTTTTTTATTAATTTATATAAATTTAAAGGATATTAATAAAAAAATTAATAATTACTTCTTCTAATTTGTTATATTTTTTAATCTATTATATCATTTATTTTTTTTTTCAAAAATATTGTATAGCAATTTATGAAAATTAATTAATTAATTAATTAATAAATTATAAATGGATAAAAAGAACAAATAAATATAATCATTAATTAATTATCAAGTATTAATTTATAAATTTTGTTTTATGAACAGATATCACAAAATAATTATTTAACATTGATTTATTAAACTTAATATTTATATTTAAAACACATGCTTAGTAATATGGTAGGAATTAGAGATAGATAATTATTTATTTAGTCATATTTGAAAAAATTCTAGCAGTTATTTTTCTTTCTTAAGTATTATAAAAATAATGTTTATAAGTAGATTTTTCTGTTTTAGCTCTGTAATTTTAGGAATATTTATAATATATCTAATTATAGCAAGATGCCATACAAAAATTTTGTGATTTGCATGCCACTTATTATGAAATAGATTTTTTATTAAATAAAAAAAAATCTGATTTTTATATTTTATAATAGAATTATATTTAATAATTTAATTTATTATAATTTCAAAAATAAATTATTTTTTTAAGACAAAATAAATTTAAAAAAATTGTCATTTTATTCAGGTTTAAATTACAGTATTTACAATATATATCTTTATGAAAAGAGAATAAATCAATAAATAAGTAGGAAGACTGATTTATTTATTTATTTTTTTACAATGTTAGAAATTAAATAAGAATATTTAAAAAAGAAAATCATTAATATTTTGTAATTCATCAAAATTATTAATTTCTGATAATAATTAATTAATTAATTAATAATCAAAAAAATATAAATGGGAAATAAAAAAAAAAAAATGGAGTAATAGAATAACTCTTCAAATATTCTATAAGATGTA